CGGCCGAGCCACGACAGTGCGACCACCTGCCACTACCTCCTCCAGGGTCTCCGTCTCGTCTACTCCGACCTCCTCCGTCGGACCGGTTCGTTCCTTCCCCCGCCGAGCTCGGCCGAGTCGTGCTGGACGGCTTACCAGTCTTCGATCGTCGGATTTCTTCGCGGCTTCGACATCAGGTCTTCGTGCGGATTCCAGACGCCGTGGATTTCCGAGGGATGCATGAACATCACTACTCGATCCCAATTCGAAAACCTAATTCCCAATTCCACGTTAAACGCCACCGTTTCGCGCTGTAACCTCTCCCTGGAGAGCAACACCCCTTGCGCCTCCTGCACTCAGAGCTTGTCCGCATTTCAGGCGTCCCTGACGGGACCTTCCGTCGGAAATGTCTCCGATTGTTCAGCTTATCCGTCCATTTACGCCGCTGCTTTCGCCAACATGTACGGCCCCACCGATAAGGGTACTGCAAAATGCTTGTTTCAGCTCGATTTCGCTTCCAGCAGCTCTGGGAATGGAAAAAAGGTGATAATACCCGTTGCTTTGTCGGGTTTCTTCGTTGCTTCTGCCTTGATCTCCGCTTGGTTCTGGTTTCTCCGGCGGAAAAGGAAGAACTTTAAGCACAGGAAGATGAAGCGAGACAGGATCAGCGGTTTAGAAACGGGTTATCAGTCCCGACTGGATTCGATCAGCGAGAGCACCACTCTTGCGAAGTTCACGCTGGAAGAGATCAAGAAAGCTACGAACAATTTCTCACGACACAACATCATAGGCAGGGGAGGGTATGGGAATGTCTTCAGGGGGGTGTTGCCCGACGGCTCGGAGGTCGCATTCAAGAGGTTCAAGAACTGTTCGGCTGGCGGTGACGCAAACTTCGCCCACGAAGTCGAGGTTATCGCGAGCATACGCCACGTGAACCTCCTGGCGCTGAGAGGATATTGTATAGCAACCACGCCATTGGAGGGTCACCAGAGGATAATAGTGTGTGATCTGGTGAAGAATGGTAGTCTTCATGACCACCTTTTCGGAGATATGGAGAATAAGCTTTCTTGGCCACTGAGGCAGAGGATCGCGCTTGGGATGGCCAGAGGACTGGCTTATCTACACTACGGCGCACAACTCGCTATCATCCACAGGGACATTAAGGCCAGCAACATACTGTTGGATGACAAGTTTGAAGCCAAGGTTGCTGATTTTGGGCTGGCAAAGTTCAATCCTGAAGGAATGACGCATATGAGCACGCGGGTCGCCGGCACAATGGGATATGTAGCTCCTGAGTACGCCTTGTACGGACAGCTGACTGAGAGAAGCGACGTGTACAGCTTTGGGGTGGTGTTGCTGGAGCTTCTAAGCGGGAGAAAAGCGATTGTGATGGATGAAGAGGGGCAGCCACTGTCTGTGGCAGACTGGGCATGGTCGCTGGTGAGGGAAGGCCGGACGCTGGATGTGGTGGACGATGAGTTACCGGAGAAGGGACCTCCGGAGGTTATAGAGAAGTATGTGTTGATTGCTGTATTGTGTTCGCATCCGCAGCTATACGCAAGGCCAACCATGGATCAGGTTGTGAAACTGCTTGAGAGCAATGACATGGCTGTTCCAACTGTACCCGAGCGACCGATCCCTCTGGTAGCTCGTATGGAGGAGATCACAAAATCCATAAGTAGCAGCAGCGGGTCTGGAAAGCTGTCGAGCCCAACGGGTTATCAGGCATTCTCATTCGGATGTGAAGGGTCTTCAGGAAATGGCCAAGAAGCACCAGTCTAAATGTTTCACGCTAATATTTTTTTGCTGCATAGAGCTAGAGAGATGTCCTGTCTTTCTGAAGGCTGGAACAGGGGCAAAACGAAACTTGTAAATAACAAAGTGTACATTCTTCCCATTCTTTTGTGAGCATATTTATTGATTCTGTTTTTTTTTATATATAAATGAATTTGTGTTTCTCTCTGAGTTCGTATGGGTTGGTGATTGTCGTTACTCATTTTACAAGGAATCCGAGTGATTCTATGATGTTGTTTCAAAAGAATTTCGACCAAGGCGCAGCCGAATAAGATGTGATGCAGATCAATATTGCACATGCATTTTCGAGAAAAAGCAGGCACGAGAAATCATATATATATATATATATATGTGTGTGTGTATATAAACAAAAGACAGATAGATAACGTTCCTATTTGACCAGTTCAAAAAGAAGAGAATCGGAAGTTGACAGAAACCCATCGTTGTTCAATGTATTAGAAAAAGCAGAGCCTGGAAGATAGATACGCCCACGTGCCGAATTGGAAAATTCTTACGTGTATAGTTAAACCACTTACGTCCAGTGTAAAAAGTCAAAGGGCTCAGAATAGGATCATTGAGAATCAGAAAGCCAAGGTGATAAGCAAAAGCAGAGACCATGCTAGTCTATGAAATATATACACATGACATCAATGACGGAATATATATACATATATATATATATGTATATCTGGAAATAAACTCGCGCCATAGTGTTTAAAATGTGTAATCTTCATCGATCAAAAACTCTATCTGTTGGGAATCTGAAGGTGCTTGGTACGGAGTTTGACGACATCAACCTTAACGATGTGATGGTCGGAGGTGCCTTTGGAGGACAAAACAGAGTAAGAACCGGGCACGAACTTGTACGGAGACTCAGGCGATGCCATTATGTAGTCCACTCTTGTCCCGTATTTGCACGTCCCCTGCACATCTTCCATACCCCAAAAGAAAAACTACATGCATGATGCTAACTCACTATATATATATATGTATGTATATGTGTGTGTGTGTCTGTGTTCTTACTTTGGCCTTTTGCTACCACAACCACCGATTCGCACTCTCCTCCAAAATCCTTGGCGTCCGTGTACTCTTTCCTCCTCAAGTATCTCATCACTTCAGCTTTTGGCACTGGCTTACCCATCTCTTCATAATACTATACTAATCAAAGTGGCCAATGATGTTATCAATTTATGTTTGGTCAATGATTTGATTCATTGTATAGCAAAGGTTGATGTATATACCCTGACGATGTCGGACCATCTCTCGGGAGAATAGTCGGTTTCGTCGAGAGAATTGAGAGCACCAGCAAGGACGTGAGGTGCTCCGTTGGCGGATGCGATGACAGCATCAACCTGCTTCATCCTCCAGTTCTCATCCAAGTGATCAAGATGTGTGCAATGGAACTCCACTTCCCCCGTCTCAGGAACATCTATGGTCGCTTTCAGCACGTTTCTGCGTTCATGGTAACAATTGATAGAGTAAATGGGGATTGGTATCGTATGATAAAATCAAGAAACCATGGAGCGGGGTAAGTCCAAGTGGAAGACAAGCTGTCTGTACCAATTATGCATTCTGAAAGCAACGTAACAATTTATTATTTTATATTATTTTAAAAGCAAACAGATTTTCATGATCTTTCTCCCCCGTCGTAATGTGTATTTCGGGACCATACAATTTATCGCACCTCCCCACTGTGTTTAGACTTGCAATATCATCGATTTTATAACAATTTAATGATTTCAGATTCGTATATTTCACACGTAAGATCATGCATGTTAGCATTTAACACAACACGCATTGGAACTATCATTAATAATAACTGATTCGGCCGCGGATATTGGAAAAACTTGTCCTAATCAAAACGGAGACTAATATTATTTCATAACACAAAATCTGCAACCTGACCTGAAATCGGAGTCGTCGAAGATCCTGTGAACCGCGGACTGCTTGATCGGCCACTTGGAGAGGACGGCGTTCCCGTACTGCGGGGCCCAGCTATCGGCGAAGACGAAGTGCATGCCGAGCGCCGCCGCCAGATCCGACAGCGGCCGCATTTCGTCGGCCTCGTCCGCCTTCACGTCCTGCAGTGCCA